AGCAGCAGAAGCGGTACGTGCAATGAAAGAGGAAAACTGACATGCCTATATAGTTGTGTCAGGTAGGCCTGGAAGGCCTGATCCAACCGTGTGACTACCGTCTGATATCAGCACAGGGTTAGTTACAAATGCAGAACTATGTTCAAGAAATGATACTTCAGATGCCGACTGAGCTGTCTTTTCTTGCTTTGATCGACACCAAATAATTTCCCACGTCTTACAGGCCTGTTGACAGTCGTCATTGTATTCTAAAATTCGATAAAAATCGTTACTTTTTCGGAAGTAGAAGACGAAAAGTCTGGATACATAATGTCTATAGAACAAGCAAGCCTCCCAAAAATGAACATATAAAAAAAAAAACTAATTCAACACCTTAAGAAATTCGAGCCAACGAAAAATATTGGCGTATAGGAGTATCTGTGGGTACTTGCTATCCGTGACTGTGCTGTCCTGCGGTTTCACTTCCAAATTGAACGCCAAATCCAGATAAGTTGAGCGAAAAGCTCGATAGGAATCGTGTTCCTAAATACTTGAATACCAAAACGGCAAACACAAATATAACAAACAAAAACTCCTCAAATACGGAAGAAATCCAATGCTCTATAAGCACATTTGCGTAGATTTAATCTTTTAGACATTAATTCCAGTTTCTCTGCAGAAAGGAATCTTAGAATATCTCTTTGGTCTCAAACATTTCCACATCAAAATATAATAGCAAAAGATTAAACCGTCTTAATTTGGCATGTTGCGTCTGGATACAGCAGAAGGAGTCAAACAGTGAAGACAACTGGGGCATAACAGCAAAGGCAGAGAGAGGCGAACGAGGGGAGGAGTAAAGTACAAATCGAATCTCAGATTTCCACGAGGCTTTGGAAATCGCTTACTGCTCAGATGTAAAAAAATCTGAAACGAACCATATTTGTGGATGAATATTCCGGCAGTTTATCCGGTGCACGAGGCTGAACACTGTGATGGTCGTGCTGATCTCCGATACAAGCCCAATCCATGCGCACACTGAACTTGAAGCCCGGCAAATGCAATACACGACTTTCGTCGTATTTCGATGCCGTCCGAACAAATGCGTCCACATCCGTTTGCACACAAAACTGGCCTTCAAGTGTGACTAAGGTGAAATGATGATGCCAGGACTCATCGAACTGTTATTATCTTTGATCAGAATAATCCAAGGCAGCTTTTTTGAAAAACAGAGAAGGAGCATTTCCCCTTTCTAACATTGGTGGGTAGACTCAGAAAGAAGCGAATTCAAAGAATTACGCGGTTGGCCCAGAACATGAGCAGTTTGAAATAAATAGCAACGCACACAACCCTAGCCGGTGCGACCATGCGTTTTGTGCAGTTCAGCCCATCGAACGACTGCCTATTAATGATTTTCACTGCTTTG